CTTATCTTTTATTGATCCGCTTATTGTTGCTCGATGAACCTTACCGCCTCTGCTAAACGCTTGCTAAGGCATTCCTCCTGGCTACCTCAGTTATTGGCATATGCTTTTCTTTTAATTAGTGGCTTCTACTTGAAATGCTGATAGTCAGGTTATAGCGCCATTCATACTGTTTTTGTTTAGCTACAAAAAGCTAGTCATTCGTCATCTTGCCAAGATAACCTATTTATTAGTGACCCATACTTACCAATGCAAAAGATGTGTCGTCAAAAGTACTACTATATGTAGTCCATCCTTACTAACTGAAGCGATCCTATTTAGTAACGATGCGCCTTTCAGTTGCTCACCTGTTATATGAAACTTTTACTTCAGTATACCTCATGTGCGAATAAAGGGCGTGTTTACTGGAGTAGGATCAGACTTCATTTTGTAGTTAGCTTTGAGAAGGTTCATGGCAGCTGGACTCGGCCAGAAAGCCAGCGTTCATCCAGGAAAGCGCCAGACGGCTGTTTCGTTCTGTTGAGACTCGCCCGTAGCACACCCCACAGAATCCTGATGGATTCGACTTGTAGGAACTCTTTATTTCCTAATCACGAACCGGCCCTAAATTTAACATCCAGCCCTTGTGTTCCACCCTACTTCCCACTATACTTCTTTTGTTTACTTCTACCATCCCTAAAGCATACCAGACCAATTTGCTAATAACCAGCCTCTTTATTCCACCACCTTTTGATAAAATTTCAACACAAACGTGTGCAGCCTTACCGACCGCTAATAGGCGACTATTTAAAATGCTCACCTCCGTACTTGTTTACACGTGAAACGGATCCAATGCTAATGTCATCATGCCAGCTGGCCACTTGCAAACCTGTTATGTTGAGTAGTTAGGGATCCACTGAATTTGTGTAATCGGTTGGCTTGAAATTAACTTATGAATACGGTGCCTAAAACAGCTCCCGCAATTGTTAAATGCACCACGCTACCACTATTGTCAATTACACTTGTGATGTAGTGACCGTATTATTTTCATTACAACTATATAATTCAGCTAAGCTGTGAACCTACATACTGCAACACAGAGGGCTCTAAATCTCTGGTTTTAGCAGAATAATAATCTTACAAACCTGAATTGTTGCCGCACTTGCTCAACACAATTGCTCGTTATGATTAAGCGTCTGTTATTTGTTACCTGAAAGACAAGATACCCTGCTTTCAGCAGATGGAGGGCTACGATGTTTCATATTAATGCTACATGGATAAGGTAAAGCAGGTAACGAATACAAAAGTTATAGTAGTGGTTTCTTGCAAATAATTCCGTCTTATGCTTTGATTTTGATTTCCAGTCTCTCCTTTAAGTACATTCTCCGACACTTTCTTTAGACAATGGACAGACAAGAAAATCCAACGGTTTTCTGAATAATTGGCATAGTAGTGACAGTGGACGCAGAAATTACTTTCTGTATATGGACTAGTTAAAGAGCAGTTTAAACAATCTCTCTGTCACTGCTTCGGTTAACATTCTGAGTTACAAGTGGTATGATGCGGGTAACCTGTTTTCATGGATGTGGTTCCCTGGATCTTTTGGATACGAACGTTACAAATGCACTGTGCATGAACGTGTCTCTAAACACACAGCTCAACCCGGTCAGAGGCTCATTGATGCTCAGCACCTGGTTTTTTACCCCTTTCAGATAAGAATATCAGAAGATCAAAATTGTGAGATGACATTGTCATTTCGTGCATATTCCTAACCCACTATACAAGCAACTGAAAGGGATGCAAAAACAAGGTCGCATGAAATCAATCATAGATCACATGTTTTTCATTGGTACTTTGCACACTACCACGGTAGACTTATTGTCACCGTCAGCCGTTTTTGGACACAGCGCTGATCGCTGTCGATGGATCACAAAGTCCTCGAGTAGCTTGAGTATGTGAGGCCTTTGACTGCGCGTTAGGACTGTGAATGACTCATCTGGGTTCACTGGGTGACTGGTGATCATTAAATGTCTCGTACTTGCAGAGGCAACTTTGTTTTTCCCTTCATCGCGTGCGATCGTTGCATTTTCCATCTGTTTGCCGAGCCACTTTGGAATTTGTTCATTGATCTGAGCACCCAGAGTTCGAGTAGTGCACCCAACATAGCTGCCACCACCGATACACATGAATTTGTACAAGCAATGGGACATACACTGCTTCGACACAGGCGTCTTCACTGAACAGTTAACTATTGGTCTTGTGGTCACAAAATGCGTAGATTTGTCGCGTTAAATGTCTTTTTCATTGAGGCTCTTATTCTTTTAGCAATGACTTGTATGATGGCGTCACCGTTGAAAGGCAACTCGATGAACACCGGTTTCTTTTGAACCATTATCTCCTTATCTCGTTTCAATGACTCACTGTAGCGCTTTATGTGTTGGCAGTGGGTAACCATTATATTGCAATATGCCAAACAGCAGTTCTTTATCTGCTTCCAGTTTGTCTGTAGTGCATATCGTATGAGCCCGATGGAACAACGATCTAAGTAAAGAGCGCTTGTGATGGATTCGCGAGAAACTCTTGTCCAAGTCGCTTTCCGTTTGATTGATCATTTTCTCGAGCCATCTGGTCATCGTGTATGCAATAGGTCTAAGTATTGGTGACAACTGTCGTGCTCAGTATCACATATCACAGTAAGACTCGGATGCGCAACATTTAGCGCTTTGGTTGCAAGTTCACTATCATCATCTGAGTCCATTAGTATCAGTAAACCATCAACATAACATTTATATAAGTTTGCGGATTTGATGATGTCTAACTACTTTTCAATCATGCCCATGAATACGGCCGCCAGCAAAGGGCTTAATGGGCTGCCCATAACCACACCATCGATCTGTCGATGTACTTTGCCTTGAAAGTAAAACTTGACATCTTTTGGGCACAGCAGTTGCATGTTCTTCAGAAATTCGGTGGGTAACTGCAATCGAATGTTGTTTTCCGTGATAAACGCACATGGGTGGTCAACAGTCTCTTCCAAGAGAACATTGGTGAAAGCGACTGAACGTCAAGTGGACACATGCGTTACTGGGCTAAGTCGATGCCTTCCAAATGGGAAAGTACTCCGAAGGTGTTTGATAGTGTGTGTTTTACTAGGGACCTTCTCATTGGTTCGTGCATGCAGTTCAGTCTGTTAGCAATAGCATGGTACGGCGAATTTACCATGGATAGTAATGGTCACATAGCTAGTCCTGATTTGTGCACCTTTGATAAACCCTACATCTGTGAAGTGAGGGTGCCTACTGGCTTTAGGGTTTTACATATTCCTCATCTGAAATAAACCCATGTAGCCGTAAGATTGGTTATTCACGAGACACTTGCTTCTGGTTCAACCGGACTGTGTCGAAGGTTGTATCTGGCTTGAATTTCGTGGCGCCTGAAAGTATTAGTTCCATCCTGAGAAGATACTCTGACCTGTCAAGAATGACCACACCGGAACCCTTATTAGGCTTTATATTGACCACTTCTTTCACTCGTTCTAGTTCACGGATGGCTTTATAGTGATCAACAGTAAGGCACCTTCGTTGATGTATTGGAGCGTTGAAAAAGTTATGCGATTTATTTACTAGTTTGTTTTTAAACCACGCAACATTATCGACTGAGGTTGGAGTCAAGGAAGCGACTTGGCTAGATAGATTCTCAAAGTTCGCGTCAACGGCAGTTTTACGCATCTGAAGGGGTGGCATTTTGGGCGCACTAGATGAACTCTGGGCGCTCGGATCAACGAACATATTACAAAGTGGCTCCGTAAATAGATGGAAAATGTGAAAATCGCATGCGATGAAGGGAGAAGCAAAGTTGTCTTTCAACGGTGACCCCATCATGCAAGTCACTGCTAAAAGAATAAGCGCCTCAATGAAAAAGACATTTAACGCAACGCAGCTACGCTTGTTTGTGACCACAAGACCAACAGTTAATTGTTCAGTGAAGACGCCTGTGTCGAAACAGTGTATGTCTCATTGCTTATACAAATTCATGTGTATCGTGGTGACAGCTATGTTGGGTGCACTACTCGAACTCTGGGTGCTCGGATCAAGGAACACATTCCAGTGGCTCGGCAAACAGATGAAAAATGCAACGATCGCACGCGATGAAGGGGAAAACAAAGTTGCCTCTGCAAGTACGAGACATTTAATGATCACCAGTCACCAAGTGAGCCCAGATGAGTCATTCACAGTCCTCACGCGCAATCAAAGGCCTCACATACTCAAGCTACTCGAGGACATTGTGATCCATCGACAGCTACCAGCGCTGTGTCCAAAAACAGCTGACGGTGACATTAAGCCTACTGTTGTAGCGTGTAACGTACCAATGGAAAAACACGTGATCTATGCTTGATTTCATGCGACTTTGTTTTTGCATTCTTTTCAGTTGCTTGTATAGTGGTTTATTAATATGCACGAAATGACAATGTCATCTCACAATCTTCATCTTCTGATATTCTTATTTGGAATTATAAAGAGAAATTCATGTTTCAAATTTCTACTAGTTGTTTGAATAATCGGGAGTACTTTTATACCTCGTTCTGTTTTAGTGTAATAGGTTTTGCATTAGTTGGTTGATGTACTAACCTCCATTTGCGGAAAGCTATCATCGCTTTTGCTGTGTGCAACTTGGCCTTAAATAATTAACTTTTTGACCTCGGAGTATTTTATTTAAGCCTGCTGTCTGCATGAAAATGCACTTTGGTATCGAAAACTCTATCAAATTTCATTAGCCTATTAATATACGTAAGCTTCAGTTGATTACATCCTATTCGATAGTAGCAACAAAGCAGGTATTATACGTACCACGGACTTTGCTAATAAGCGATTTTTGTTGTTTGAGCATTTGTCATCTTTTGAACGGTATAACGTTTGTATTAAATCATTAAATGATGATTTTTGTTGGGTATGGTGTTAAGCATTGCCGATGATACTAAACAAGCGAACGTTAGTTGGGAATGTTACAAGTTTTAGGATTTTCGCATGGATGCGTTATCGGTTAGCAGTGACTTACCGAATGAGATTAAACCACTTTTTAGTTGCCACAACTTGTGCATGGCTCCCAGCGACAATGGTAACCGATCCCGAAGCCTGTAGCAAAGGAACTGTGATGTGGCAGCCAGTTAGCCTCCGTATGCTTCTGCCGTGTCACTGAAAGCTTACACTGGCGCGTAATCTGGTTACATACCGTAATGTCGATAAGGTCTACGCCAGAGAAGTCTATTGGTAAACATCTTGGGAGCGTGACCTAATCATTGGAGACGGCTGAAATTCATGGAATGGCCCAGTGTGCTTCCGACCAGAGGCCAAAGGGATGTTGCGCTTGCTTAAGAACTCAAATTTCACCGGTGCGTATGTGCGTGGGTGCGAGTGACTTTGCACTCTCCATAGCCCCCGCGCGATTGATTTTGTTTGCATGGAAGTGGTGTCAGTACAATGTGTCGGCGTACTGCTGACGCCCAGAACAGCTTTGGTTGTTACACATCCTTGGTGATCATCATCACCTTCGTGATATTTGCCACAAACGTGAGCAATGCTTTGTAGACATCGGTGATCTCTCGCTATCCTCATTTCACCTTGGCCTGCAGCTGATCTCTATAGTACGCATCGATACACTGCTTCGTACAACACCTGTTCCCTAAACTATGTTTTCACTGTTTCTGCGTGCTTGAAATCCAGTAGGTTACACCAAGCATACTGGTGAATGCAATCAGCTATTCGTCAAGTTGGCTACCTGAGCTGATATGGCAACTTTGATATATTATTATATCAATTACTGTTACAACAACAACTACTACTCTACTACTACTACTACTACTACTACTACTACTTCTACTACTACTACTACTACTACTACTACTACCACTACCATATAACAAAAGCCCGAGGCGTTTTTCGCAATCTATAACATATATGGTGCCGGCTCGACATCACTCTCCCTCTGAAGGACAAAGTTTACATTAAAACCGTCAGTTCAACCCTCGTGGGTAGATGCGAAACCTTCCATCTGCGTGACAGACACGAAGCGACTTGCTACCTCTGAACATAGCTGCTTTAGAAGCTTGGCTCATGTCTGGTGGGAACACCGAGTGAGTATTGGACCTGATCAGTGTCGCGTATTTGTTGCAAGCAGAGCGCGTGAACTGCTCAGCACTATTATTTTACGCACCAGGTCCCGATGGCTGGGCCACGCGTTGCGCATGCCAGCACACCGATTCCCGCGTCGGGTGTTGTTTACGCGCCGGGGATATGGATGGGAGAAGGGGACGATAGCCCAAAGGATGATTTGGACAAGGGCATTGAATTCTCTTGCTTTGTGGTTGGACACGGTTGGTGTCTCCCGACTGCCAGGTCTGGGTCCAAAAGACGATGGATGCGTCCAGTTAGCTGCACTTGTTGACATGGCTCTGATTAGACCTCAAACGCGTTGTGTTGTGATTTCTTTGTCTCCCTTCCCTTTACATTTCCCCTCCAACCTCTGTCCCTTACACACTGCATAATATGATATTTGACATATTAATTTTTCGGTTTTTGTAGTATGTAATGTCTAATATCCTATTTTTTATGTATTACTGGACATTAGTTGAGGTGTGTTTCTCACCGCTAACGTTATGGAACTGATGCTTTTGGGCTTGGTTATGAACCCGTACTTTGCATCTCGAAGATACGGAGAAGATGCTGAGGTATTCGGCTGCATACGTCAATGTACCATACATGTTTCGTACGCACAACCATCATCTTGCTTTACTTCGCCAAATCAGGGGAAGCCTCATGCTAATAAACCAATGGGATAACAGAGGCGTAAGAGGTAATCAACCAAGAGCTTTTAGCTTTTTACCCTATGCGATTTCCATTGCTTTAAGCTCCGGGATCGATTACATCTTTAGTTGAGTGTTCCATATAACTATTCCATTTAAAAACTCAGTGAAGTTTATTCGACTTCACCTCTTGTTTTCAACCGCCAGCTGTGGAGTGAAGCTTTTCGTGACATTTCCTCAAGGTTTTTTCTTGTTTGTTGACGCTCTCACTTGGTTTCACCATCATGTTGTTTGATAATCATGTTTTCTCAGTTGGGCTATACTACTACTATTATCCCTCAAACAAAATTCTGTTGTCAGCTGAAAACGCGTATCATCTGCGAGTCTCAAACTAGCTACGTATCTTCCGTAAATTTAGAAAATTTCCAGCGACGTTGAGTTTGTCTGTTTGAATTTCACTCTAATTACGAGCACCTTTAACTCTGAGGGAAGAATGGAGCTGTGATGTGTACTATCCAAAACGACCTTTTGTTTTTACACGGATGAAATCTTGGCATTCTTACTGACCCCTTAAAAATACCGACAACTCCAACTTAGACATGAGTCTTCACACTAACGATAGTCTTTGTTCTGGTAAAAGTAAAAATCACTTGCAATGCTGACTACTATGTTCCTTCTGTCGATCTTTCTTCATAACATATCACCTGCGCTCTGCGTTACCCTCACATCTGCTTAGCTTTCTTCAACGTCCGTTCTGCAAAGCATCGATGCGGTACACGGTATAGCAGACTATTTATCAATAGGCTGCGCCCAGAAACCCTTTGGAAACAGCTTATATCTTCCTCGGTCGTTTTTTAAGATGTCCTACCAATACAACCTGTTTATTTTAGTAATGCAACAGACTAATAGCTAACTGTTAATAAGTAGAAAAAGGGGTTTCTCAAGAGCACCACTTAAAACAAGTCCAACAGGACTTTTTGGCCAAATATCTTGGGCAACCAGTTTTGACTTTTTCGGATACAGATGCACCCCCATCTTTGTTTTCACACTGTATGCGAAGTTGATGTCACCCGGAGCGTCGGGTTTTCAGTAATGTACTATTTAATTCATGTGTTTTGGCTTAACTATGTCGGTTTTCAAGCCGACTACACGTGTTTAACCCTTAGTTATATGTCGAACATCTTAACAGTCATTTACCACTTGTTAAATATGCCACTTTACTACAAACGTCACGACGTTTCGATTGAAGCCATGGAACGGAAGCAGTGCGTTGTGGTAACGTTTTCTTGTTATGAAGTCAGTTGGGCTACTACATCGCGCCCTAACTCAAGCAGCAGCAGCAGCAGCAGCAGCAGTAACTCGAACCCCGGACATAGAGTTTGCAAGTCAAATGCGAGAACGTCCATCAAAGCTTTATGACTGATTATCATTTTTGAGGAAGTGTTATGTTTACCCAGCTCACGTCGGACCGCTCTGATTGTCTGATTTGAAAAGAGCAGATAACTCCATTTGACCGATCAAGAAAATAGGGTTGCAGGTATCAGCGTAGTGGCCGCCAGACCGAGACAAACCCACAGCACAGACTAACGAAATTTGTGTCTTTGATGACCTTTTTGAACGTTACTTGTTCTTTTATATTCTTCACTTAGCAATAATAATATTATATTGCCCGAGAACATTCTTTTGATTAATCATTACGATTGTTCTACTTGATTTCGGCTTGTTACATGTTTTCCCAAGTGGACTACTCTTGAGTGTCCGGTACTGATGCACCCAATGAACGGTTAATGCGCTGCCGGTCGTGAAATTGCACCACCGTCTCATTATCCAATTTTCTTGCATGACACTGCTAATACAACAAAAATGACAGTTTGTCGTTGCATACGTGGTAGTTCTTGCAAGGATTTTTTACTGCCTGTGACATTCGTATCTGGCTTTACAAATTTGATACCCAGACCTGTACTCGGCAACCTTTATTTCGCTTTTGCCCCTTTTACATGATACTCAACTTTGCATGAATCACTTAATCCTTTAGTATGAAGCAACTTCGACACCTGAATGTGTGCACAATGTAGTCCTACGCAACAACACAGCCAGAGGCTTCGGCATAATCAATTTTAGGACTAGCGTATGCGTGTACATACAAGTAATGCCTGCTCACTCTAGTTAATGATTCTTCCTATCTTGGTTCCGGGTGTCGTGTTTTTCAGATTCAACGAAAATGTTTGTGTGAATTTTTTAATATTTGGGTCATATATAGGCTGTTTTCTTTCATTTGGTTGTCTTATATTGTCGGACGAATTGACCGCCTTCGTCTGACTTTTGCTTTTGGTCCCAAAGTCATTCACATGTAGACTGGTTCATGGTTACTTCTGCCTTCATTCATAACTGACGATTTTTTGACGTTACCGCAATAGGGACTCTAAACATTTTCCATTCATCTTTTCTCTCTACAGAAGAATGTGACTACTATCCTTTCGTTCCACTGGGAATGACAGATCGGTTCAACGGAATTACAGATAGTCAAGTTACTGCCTCTTCCTCATTTTCAACTGAAACCATGCCTTATTACGGCCGTCTACATAGTTCCGATGGTAACTCGCGCTACTTCGCTCACCTCTTTTTCCAGCCTTTCTTTTTGACAATTCATTAGGTAAGTACCTAATACACTGATTCAGAAAACATCAGAATCAAATCCATGAAGGTTGACTGCTCCGTATTCCTATCTGCTTACAGAAGACGCAGGTGCATGGGTTGCACTAGACCAGGATGACAAACAGTGGATACAGATCGATCTCAAAGAGCGACGGGTGGTCACTGGTGTTGCTACACAAGGGAGACAAGGTGCCAGACAATGGGTGCAAGACTATTTTATTTTCTATACTGATTCAGACGTTCCCGTTCATTGGTCTATCATCAGGGATAATCTGGGACAACCTTTGGTAAACTCTACTCCACAGAAGTGCTCATGTTTGTAGCTTTTCAACGGGAACATCAACGATAATGAAGTGTACATGAACAATTTTTCCTACCCAATCGTTGCTCGTTACATCAGACTCAATCCTCAGCGATGGTACACATTAATAGCACTGAGAATGGAGTTATTTGGGTGTCAGTACCGTAAGTTGCAGAATGCATACGAATAACTAACTCATTATCTCAAAAGGTCCTTTTACTGCCCATTTCGATGGAACAAGTTGGATCGACTTACGCTTGGACCTTCCCGGTCGCTCCACTCAAACGGACACGGATGAAGTACGGTTCAGATTTCGCACCAAGGAAGTAAACGGCCTACTCCTGTATGGCGATTCGAGTGAACGTGATTATTTCTGCGTGGAGCTTTTCAGGTAGTTCTTTCTTTAAAGCGTTCAACTACTTATTAGTAGTAAGATAATTAGAGCAAAGGGTCAGTCATCCATCACTTTCGCCTCCGCATAGATTGCAGGGTGTATTGCCCTTTCGGACACATGTCATGCATTTTGATCCAAAAGTATTGTTTGTCTTGTTAGTGGTGTAGTAGATCGCTTTACATCGTTAACAAAAGCTATGGATAGTAAGTGGTAACTTATATAAGTGAAAGCATATGTACACGAAATTTGAAATCATTTGTTACCTGTGTGTACATGTGTACACCTAGTGAACGAAGGGGATAGAGAAAACGACCCCTTGTTTTAGTGCCATGACTTATTTCGCAGTCATCTGCGGTAGCTGGTAATACAGCAAACACAGTATAGTCTACGGCAACGAATGTTGTTACGACCTCTTCAATTAGTCATGCCGTGAATGGCTGTAATTGTGCAGATCAGATGTAGCCAAGTGGGCCCAGTCATTTCCACGATGGAATTGCTCTTTGTGATACAGCTCTCACTAGAAATTATCATATGTCAATCACCAGCTACCACTAGAAGTTACTTGAAACTCGCATCTAGAGTTTCGGTCTTCATCCAAGCAAATGCTTTATATAAGTTCAAATCGCAGAATTGACGTGTTACTGGGTAATGTTTATGACGACTATAGAAGATATTACCTTTTCGTATCATAGCTTAGGGTACTAGGCCGCCTAAACTTGGCTTTTGGCTCTAAGGATTACCCGATTTCCTCATTTATTCCAATCGACACAACCTCAAATCAGGATAAGGTTTATATCCCCGTGTGGGAGCATTTTCAACAATTTATACTAGCATTACGCACATACTAAAACATAAGATCGACAGGGAAATGATGTGAATTGACAAGAACAACAAAAAGAGTTCAGTACCAATCAAGCGAACGTTCTCGCAACTGTTCCATCATCACTCTTGGGTCGACTAACAAGCGACACACATAAGGCAAGTTACAGTTGCGATACGAAGAGGTATTGGAAAACAAAACTTTAAATTTCGACCGCGTGATAGAAATGATTTCCAAACTAGCTAAAACAACGTGTAGAGGGTGAGCGGAGTCGTTTATAATCTCGGATGACAAGCATGCGTCAAAATGCTTGCCGACCACAAAATCAACGAGGGACTCTCTGCTTAATCCGGAGCATCAGGAAATAAATTTTAGTGATCGCACAAGTAGAGTATAATCCTTTTGAAGTAATTCTGGGGAAATAACTGGGGTAAAGTACAGCCAATGGGGGACAATACATAAATTTACAAGGCTTAGAATTAGAGCACGCAGTACAGAGAGCATTTTGAGCCTAAGGGAGTAGATGGATAATCTTCCGACTTTTTGAAAAGTTTCCGGAATATGCGTCAACCAAGATAAATTATAGGACAAGAAGATACCGAGATGATTTACGGAATAGGAACGTGGTATGCTTTGGTCACTCACAACCAAAGGAGGTGAAGCATTTCAAAATGTGTCCAGTCTGTCGGGGCGGAGAAAAGAGAATTAGCTATCACAACACTTAGAAAGGTTAAGGAAGAGGGAATGTGAACTTGACCAATTTCAGAGCTCATCTAATCCTCCTTAAAGTTTTAAGGATTCCTCGATTACTATGGTTATACACCCTAGAACGACGTCGTCAGCTTAGTTATACCACAGGAAACGTCGGTATAAGCGGTGACTTAACATAGATGGACAACAGAAAAGGGGATCGAACAGACCCTTGTAAGTCTCCACAATTTGCTGGGATTGCCGAATATCTTGTACCGCATATCTATATGAGGCGTGTCCGATTCGTAAACTAACAACGCGTTACATTACATTTGCATGAGGGAACACCGTTTTCGAACAAAAGGTTGAGTAGTTGCGATTTGTTGAGGCGCCCAATGGCATTAATACAATCAAGGAACAGGAGCCACACAGCTTTGCATTCTTTTATCCAAAGCAGTTGCAATGGAATACACAAGATACGAAGCAGCCTCTAGAGTAGAGTGCTCTAACTTGTATGCAAACTGTTTGATATCAGTCTTAGAATTGCTTGTAAAGGTGAAATACAGTATATGCCACAAGTGCCGTATCCTGAGTTCAAGCAATCTAGTGTTCTCCGCCATAGCTCACCCATTGTTTCCTTAAGGACATATCACATCTTCTTATTATAATTATATCTTCATTACTTAGAGGACGTCTTCGGGTGAACATCAACCTCGGTACGGTTCCATCGAGCACAGAATTGACCGACAACAGCGTGGACGCCGGTAGCCTTTTGGATGACAATCAATGGCACGATGTGCATATTCTTCGGGTGCAGAAAAATCTCAATATAACTGTGGACCGTATCCAAGTCTGGCGAAATTTGTCCGCAATTTTTCTGCATATGAACATGAACAGAAACGTGAGTAGCAGTGATCTTATCTTATTTCCCATCCAATCTGTCTATATTAAATGAGTTAACCCGGTTTTTAACGAATAACTTCATCTTTGGAAGATTTAGTACCAATATATCCTAAGGGACTGCAGTTGACCTGTACGCACGTACGACTACAACTGTAACGTAACCGAAGGTGTGTCACAGCGCACTAAGATCAAATTGGGTAACTGACGACCCTTTGGGTCTGTATACAAAATGTTTGCATTTCATGTAATTGTACAAGCCTGATGAAGAATTGCCGAAAACATATGTTCGCTTACACAGACTTCTGACCTAAGGGATGTGTTGGGTCAATACTGTAGATACTTTATGCAGGGTAGAAGGTGGTCGTATTGTAGGTCAGATTAACTGAGTGTATCCAGGAGGTTATTGGATGCCATCGTTTAACTGATACCCATACACAAGTATTTCTTGTCAAGAGATGGGAATACGGTAAGCCAAATGTTCTCAGTAGCAAGTAAACTCCATTGTCGAACATCTCACATGCGTTACTTCAGTACAGTGAATAGCGCTGCACAGTACTGAACTATCAACCTCACACCGATTGGTGGTGAGACATAAGAGACCAATTTATCAAGTTCGGTGAATCAATCAACGGTTGAACAATCAACTCGGGTTACCGGTGTTTTAGATTATTTCGAATGCGTTTCTTGACTTGTAGGATGCCTCTGATCAGCAGTAGTACAGTCACTTTTCCAATATCTCACCTTTCTATTACTACAAGTGTCGCGAGATATCCTCACCTTGAGGTACATCACAATCCCGGCCGTGACCGTCTGCTTCAGACATCCAAAATGTCTCTGGTTTAATCCTGTCTAACTGCATGCGAGTTCGAAGTAATCTTGGTGCACAGTTGACTTCTGGAAGTCTTTTGGTAGCGAAGCTCCAGTGCATGGTGTTAGCATAATATTGACGTTTTTATTTGTACATCCCTACTGCCACTGCGTTTTAAACACTTGCAGATGTTGGAATCAACTCCCCTGTTTGGGCCCGTCACAGACCTAGTGTGATCCGAGCACATCCCTTTCTTTCAACGGTTTCAACCCGTTGACATCAGGTGTTGCATTTGCTATGCGAAATTAACTTATGCTTTAATTCTGGTACTTTTTGTACTATTTTCTGTTCTATCACGGTCACAGACTAACGAATTAAAGCAGTCCTGTTTTATCAGTGTTTTGTATTTAAACACGCCTTTTTCGATGTTTCCATGGTTTTACTACACTGCTGTATAGCGCCACTTGATCAACCTTCTCGTGTCTTCTAGCTCTCTGTCGGTGGACTTCCTTACTTCGCTAATCGTCGTGGTGTCACTGTGAGGCAAAATTTCATAGGCTGCATGGAGGAATTGGTATTCAACGGTGTTCACATGATTCGAGACACACAGAGGTCGGTTTTGGGGATTCAATCGACGTCTGAGTTCAACGCCATGACTTTACATTGGGATGAAGCTTTGGGCTATCCGAAACGTAACCCATTCCTTTGGTGGGGTCCACCGATCACACAATCCGAGTTAAACATTTCCGGTTTCGCCATAGGCGGCTCTGGAACACTTGGCACTTCTTGTCCTCCGGTTGCCAACGACGCCTCGGTACTTATGTTCCCCAAAACACAACAGTACGTCGTGTTCCTAAAGGTGGAACGAGATGGCGGTACGAGCACGTTGCAGTTTTCTTTTCAATTTCGAACACTAAATCGCGGGGGGATCATGTTCTACCATACTGTGGACAAAGATCTCAATTTTATTTCGGTACGTTTGACTTTGTTGAGATTGTAAGTGTTGCTTGCGGCGTACACGTTCATGCAATAGTCAGTCACTGCCGTAATACTTGGGTGTGATTTAACTACACGGTGGTAGCCGACACCTCGTTTATCCCCTGCTAAGATGCAGTCAGCCTTTACTATATGTTCTGTTTAGTTGACATAGACGGTATTTCGGACAGTTTTAGTGCAACTTGGAATACACCAATATCAACCTTTTTCCCTGCCCCAGGTATTAGCACACCTGGCAATAAGTCGCACCTTATGTTACGTTCGCCATTAAACAAACATCCTTGGAACTATCAGAGGTGCCTCAGTTCCCTACTCACATTATCATCGGTCCTGATCCATTGCTCACGTTCAACTTGGAAATATATGGCGAAGCTACATAGTACAAATACACGATAAACTCAAGTCACAGCACACTATGTAGCTGAATTAGGCATTCATTCTGCACTGTATAACTGACCCGTACTGGATAGAAGTGATTATTGCCGCAGGGTTACTCTTGGTCTGAGTAAATCTTGATTCTTCTTTATGGTCTGATCACTGAGTATGGTGTTAGTAGAAGTTGTGGAATATTTACAGAGCACTTTATCTGATCGTACAATTTTATAAACATGTGTTCTGAATAGCACAGTATACCTTAAATTATGGCATACCTAAAAAGTTCACAACCTAACCAGGAAACCTTTTCAATCCAACATAAAACAAACACCGGATAGATCGTAGTACAAGCTTATTTAATTTGTCTGCATAAACTAAATAACTACTAAACGTTAGAATCCACTCGGGGATCCTGATATTTGGAAGCGCCACAATTTCACCAATGTCCAGTACAACAAATTGTTCTTTGTTTAGTTACGTCCCTTGATTGTAAGTGTTAAAAGCTACAGAACGACTGAAGTCGCCATAAATGGCGTTTCAGTTTGGTTATTAGTTACTTGATGGTTCACTTTTCATATGTAAAGTCGGCTAAGGATCCCTCAAGGCTTCATTTGTACTTGCACCGTGGTTCGGGGTGCACTGTAGTCATACTGATGCATTCAATAAACGAGGGGAACGCAGAATTGGCTGCATTCTTTCCAAGCCTCCTTCCAGAACCTGCTTAAAAGCAGAGGAAACATCTATCGTCAACCGCACCTGCATAACCTCCATGGATCATGCAACTTTCGGACTCAAGTGGACAGTAGCTGAGATTTTATTCCGTGTATGCAAGTATTTTAAAGGAACGAATTCCCTTACGCCACTGTGTATCCCGCAAATCTCCATTTACGACATCTTGTACCCCATGTCAGCTTAAGTCGACCTTTGATGCCGCAAGTTAGGATTCGGCAAAGGTATGTTCAGCTTGATTTCTAGATTCTAAATATCCGGGAGATTGACTGACTTGAAAACCGTTTGTTGAACTAACGTCAATTCGACTTTGGTGCAATTATTCGAGTACGCATTTATTTAGTGATCTCTCTTATGTCTTATCTACGTGGGCCAACGAGTAAGTACTTAAAGTCCACGGTACGTTAAAGTCCACGCATTCAACAAACTTAAAATTGCCTACATGTCATAACTCAGAGTCGCGGTTCTTACTATGCCTGACACCACTCCATTTACCTGGGACTAATAACTCATATGGATTATTACTACGTTGTCAATTTATAATTTGTTTTTGACTTCAGTTTACCGCAGCTGCTTGAGGCACGCCAGCTACTTTTCTCCAAATCTGTGGGTGACATCACAGTCACCTTGCTATCAATCTTGTCCCGAATTTTAACAAATTGTGCCAACATACTATTCCGGAGAGCAAATTTACCTCGTGGTCCACAACTATTTGCGTTGTCTCTACTCTCCACTTTTTCCACAATCCTGATAACTTTTCATTTAGCATCGTATTCCTTTACCTGATAGCAGTGGTGTACGTGGTTGGTCGTTCGTTCTTTCACTTCACTCCCTACAGTTTGGAATGGAAGAAGCCCAAGGACACTTGGAATTGGAAATTATTTTACCCGGAGTGAATGTGATCAAGTACACAGTGCAAAATAAAGACCCAGCGGCCAAGGATGGAACGTTTGCCGATGGACTATGGCATGATGTGGATTTCACCATGCGGCAAGATAATGTGCTTTTGATTGTGGATACAATTAGCTACCCCACACGACAAAAGACAACCCGTCCGGTGAGTTACGAATCAGTTGATTGGGTTTTTCATTCATATGCGTTATGATGTTTCTGTTCACCACACGATGGGTTGAGCGGCGAAACGGTACCAGCGTGTATGTAGCGTTTAAACTGAAATTCCTTACTGATTTTCTCCGCGCAGCCACAGCGGTCCTTGAAAGATTCAGCCGCTCATTCAATGAATCCTTTTCCACTACCGTAAATGATCCCGTTTATTACCGAGAACTCGTCCCCGAGTATTTTCAGTTATTTTCAAAGTTTCAGTAGCTTCACATGGAAACAACACAACCTGTAAGCGCTTCAGAAGAAACCAATACACTGTAGCGAAATCCACGGTTTACGGATATTCGTTTTGATTCTATCGGACCTCATTGTCCAGAAGAAACATACATATAGTTCAACTACCTTTCTCACCAATTCTAAGTTGTGTTGCAGGAAACTTTCTGGAAGTTCTCCTTTAATCTCTGAACGCTGAAGCGTCCTTCTAGTATCTTCAATTTTCTAGGTAACTCCGCTTGAGTCCGCAAGTGATGGTCGCTGTTGCGTTAAGACACATTTCAAGCCATGGGCACTGGAGAGAGAAACGTTTTTTTAATATACGAGTTACTTTAAAGTACAACGGTCATCTAACCTCCGTGAAGGAAAGCTGTGGTGCAAATACGCCTCAACTAGGCATTCGTAAATTATGTCGGCTGACATAATATATCAGATATACAGCAGTAACATCAATTGCCTGCAAACCTGTCCTGTTCTGTAACAGAGCGCAATGGAACAAGCGTTCATCCCCTGATTAATGGTCCTGGTTTTCCAGTGCTCAAGTGTATTAATTGTCAGCCTTACTTACGTTTAAGTAGTACTGTCGTCATCTTAAGACCTAAGGCAGGAACCCTAACGGCGCCTGAGTGCAACGCTTGAGTCAAGCAACACAAAGTTGCCTTGCCCCCTTAGGATTTGAGCTCAGTGATGACAGGATCGCAGTTTGTCTGTGCGTAAGTCACTGCTCAGTCAGAGCTAATCTATCGAAATCCAAACAAATGACGGTTACTTTTACTTCATAAGCATGTCTTGCGCTGTACGTCGTTGGTTCACTGTACAGGCATGCTTTGACTGAGGCTGTATCGTTTCGCACGCAGTGGGTGAGGTTTTCACTATTTGTGTTCCCCATCGTTGCCTTCTGTATCCTTGTGGTTCGTCGACTACTGAACAACCAAGATTTGTGTTAAGGGAACACATGTCTCCACAAAATCGCTCAAGCGAAGCCACGTAAGGCTTAGACGCTCGCATGCATGCCAGTACACCTTATTCAAGCGCTCTCCGCGCTTAAAAGAATTCATTTTTTGACTGGCCTACGCTACTACAAACATTCATATTTCCGAAACGTTCCGCTTACATTGTGCCAGTTTACTTGCTTACGCTTCGCTCCTTGGTTTACCTTACTAAGACTGTTGTGTGTGCAAAATCTTGGTGCAAACCTTGGTATGTACGGGAGGCTAGGCATCACTTTATTCGCTCTATGCTGGGACAGTAAAAAGCGCCTGTTTCGAAGCACTTGTTTTCTCTCTCTCCTAATCGCGTAGACGCGTGTAGGATCCGCGTTCGCTCCAACATTTCTTAGCCAAGTACGGTCATACTATAATCAACTTCCTCCGTAAGTCACTCAAGATGGTTTGTGCCCCCAGTCATATTGCATCCAGTAGCATTCTTGAATGTACTCACGCCGTATGCGATTAGACTGATGTGTACTAATGCAGGAACATGATATTCGCATGGAGGAAGTTGTTTGTATTGTGAATGAAACTGACTGAGAAATGGTGTAGTGGCTCCATTCAACTCGCTCGCAGTAGGCCTTTGGCGACTAAGTTTCGCGAGTCGAATTATGTTAGTTATCTTTCCGTGCATTTATGCAAGCCGCAAGTCATTTTTCGTTACGAATTGGAGTGTCATTACAACCAGTCGTCAGAACTGTTCGGTCATATTTATTAGAGATTGTCACACATAAACTAGCCTGTTGTGAGCGGTAATCGGCCGTCGTATACCGAACGTCACGCCCAACATAAAAGATTGCGGTGATGACCGTGCTCACTCTTTTCATGTAATTCTCTTGTGGATGAAAAGAAATGCATAATTTTCCTCTAGTAAATCGGGGCAGCATGTCATTTGCCAAGCATACAATGGATATTCCAAAACCAAGCATCTACATCTCTGAACATATTAATTTTCATTTGTTTATAAGTACTACTATCTTTCTTATCTACCTTTTTATGATTTTGCGTATACAGCTCAGTTTTGATCGCGTCTCGTACATCGGCGGTGGCCGTCCACAAAGATTTGGTTTCCAAGGTTGTATGCGACAGCTGCGAGTAAATGCAATAGATGTGATTTGGGACGAGTTGGATCCCTCCATGAGACATCGCAGCATTGTGAATGGAAGCTGCTTGATCCAGGATCGGTGCAGTCCCAATCCTTGCAAGCACGAAGCCCCTTGCTACCAGACTGGAGACGCATTCTACTGTGACTGCACAAACACGGGCTACTCTGGTGCAGTGTGTCACCAAAGTGAATACTTCACATCGTGCTCAGAAGCTGGACTGTTCTACGCTCTGCGCAACCCGTTTATCAACATCACCATCGACATGGACGGTTCCGGTGTGTTGCAGCCGATCGACGTGATGTGTGAATTCAACGGTGTGTTGAATGCCTCATTCGTGTACTTATATAGTTTTGCTACTTTTTTCTACGGTAACAGAGGTACTTTCACCTTTAAATGGTTCTTGTAAGCTTAGTCATAATTTGAATCGAATTCGCGTTGGGTCGAAAGTTGTTACGGTTGGTGCGTACGTAGGCCTGTTTGTAAACGTTTAGTTGGATATTCATGCGAATGTTGCTGAAACATTTGAAACCAAACAACCTATCCTTGCATGAAAAGTAAAATATTAACAACCAACACAAACCACTCCATCATTTTGAGTAGTCTCTCATTTGCTAACTTCTTACTTCCCATTCGTCATTCAGACCCGTCTGGAACGATTACTACTCTAGCTCATGACGTGGAGGGATTCGTCTTGGTCGACGGTTATCAAGAGCCCGGGTCGTATCACCGTCGACTTAATTATGGACGTGCGGATAGAGAGACTCTGGGAGAGGTGGTACGCCGGGCAGTTCGATGTGAGCAGTCGATCACCTACCAGTGTTGGAACTCTTATCTTCTTCGACTTCCATCAGGAGGTAGGTCTTATGGTGAAGTCCGCTTCCGATGGTGTTCACTTGATGTTTTTACTTCATTGTTCTTGTAACAGCCTAATACGACGCCCCAATGCATTTTTGCTCTATCCTGGACTTTGATCTTGACTTTTCTCTCCTGCTCAAATGATAGCTTAGATGCTTCTATACTGCGGTTTACTTGAAGGCACAACGGAATTACCACACATTATAGAGTTATCTGAGACCGATGTTAACGTTACCCTGAGTGAATGGTTGCTATCGACTTGTTTCTCTACATCCTTTGATTTTGTAGCAACCTGTAGTGACCTGGAGATTCCCCCGTATGACTGTGTAAACTTTCCTAAAATATTCAAATTATAGCTTTCTCATGTATTAGGGAACTATTCGGTTTGCCTGTTGGAACGTTGTTCCCGTTTGTTGGAAACACGAACACGATCTCCGCCTTTGGCGCGCGGTTCGACTGCGAACGACGCTCCGTCTACGCTCTCGACGCCAACGACATTCTCCCTAGCTAGCTCTCTCCGGGTGCCCTATTTTTAGCATTAGCTAACGCTCCTCCCATCCAATAAACTTCTTCCCTAGTTTACTTTTGTGTCTTCTACCCACTACTTTTGGTTGGCCGTCTAGTCGCATACCGGATATATAGCGCACGATCCACGCTCTCTAAACCTACAAATCTATCGAATGTAGTCGTGTACACTTTTGACGTCCAAAATTACTGTTTGAGTCCGCCTGAAAGGTGGTATAAGTTGCAACCAATTTTATCGACTAACGGAAGTAAGGTTTAAAATCGATATGGGTTTTCTTCCAAGCTCCACTCAATCTACGCGATTTCGTTAATACTGGAGTGCAAGCCCTGCACGTTATTGCTTGTGCACCGTGACGTAATCATTAGCTTTCTACGCAGGGCTATTTGTTTCGTACACCTACTTAGCCGGTTCACTCTGCCTCATACATCGCCTCCTAGCCAGATTTCCGACAAGTTTTAATTTTCTGCGGCTACAACCACCATACTTCATTTCCACAAAGTACTACCAACAGTATAACGTTTTGTCCTAAATCGAAAACAGCGAACTGTTGAATTCTTCTGAGATTGCTTAAAGGGTATTTGGGTTGCAACGCGCAATGTCAATCGAAACCATCATTTATTTTATGGTAAGACCACAAGTCCAACTGCGCATGAACAATGGGCTTTTATAGGCATTCTCCCCCTACAACATAGCCAGCCACTGCCGGTTTCGTCACAATTTGAAGTGTCCGTACCTTACCGAACCTAGACACCGTTGGGTGTCGATTGGTTCACCGAACCGGCCAGTTATTCTGCAGCTGTTTTATCACCAATGGAGCGGGAATCTTTAGTGTATAGTGTTAAGTAACTTGAAAGTAAATACTCGAACCAGTAAATCGAACTAATCAAATCCAGTGACCGAACAATGCACAGAGCAGCCTGGGCAGCTGCGTCCAGTGAAAGGCAAAGCTATTACACCAATGCAGTTGCACGGAGCCATCCTACGTCGAAACTGGCTTCGCACAAACGGATAAAAGTCACTCAGGTATCCTTGAATATCCAAACAGACAGCCAATCCGAATGCAGCAGAGTTAAACGTGCCAAAATGTCTAGGATAAACCAACAGTTGACAGCCTCTGTCTCCGAATTCGCTCAGGCCTCAGTATTTGCTATCGATCTATCTACCACTGCGCACTAGAGGTGCCACCTCGATTGGTGGTGACACGTCTGCAACAAAACTACTCGGCTCGGAACACAAATCGACATTCGGTATATCAACCCGATCTACTGGTGTTCCGATTTACACCAGGACACCACGACTACCGGGCAGTGCGTCAGTCAACTAGCATTTTGATTCCGCGACAATGATTTGTGTTGCCCACTGTCCATTTGAACTGCGACACATAGTGTCATGTACGGGAAGGATCGAACTTCTTGGCAACTCGGTTATTTCCCCTTTTAACCAAATGTGCGAAGTTTACCTTGAGTGGGATTTACTTTCCATTGCAATTAGCTCATGGTGTAGAAACCCCCGGGGGGGGGAAGTTAGTCACTTAGCTTGTACATCATCACATTTGATTCGCTGTCGACGTGTTGTGTCGCGTAGGTTGTGTGTGAGTCAACAGCCATCGATTTCCGGTTCGATTCCTGACCTGAAATATATGACGAATACTAACAATAAATGTTATATTTACTGACAGGCTGCATGCGTTCCTATTTGAGAAACATTCATGTGTACAGGGTTGCGTATCGTAACCCTGGATTAGTTAATTTTCTCAGTTCCTTAAGAGGCTCAATGCATTATGATATTCGGATATGAGGTATAAACTCATAAACAGCGAGATTCCTCACCATTTGATCATTTAACTTTGGAGTAAGTGTCGATCAGTAATGCATAAAGAAAAAAATTGGGGAGCAGGTTGTACCATATTTTATCTTACAATCTGACGGCGCGTTCGTGCCTGCGTAGGGGCAGGGTTGCCCTCGCAGTATCCTATTCCACGTTCGACCGGTGATGGTTGCGCGGTAGCGACGCGTCGGTACTGCGTACCGGCGTACTGTGGATGCTGATGCCTTCTGTAACATATATTCATGTCAGATTCCATGAGTGCACTCATAGATTGTTGAAGGCCGTGAAGTTAGATCTAGTATGGCATAGAGAAAAGTTTGTAGATGTGTTCTAAATGTGAATAAGTTCTCATGTCTCACTAGTTGCAGTGACAGCTTATTTCATATATGGGCGTAGCTCGTTAGGAAAATATTAAGCTGACATTTTGCTTGGCCTTCCGTAAGCATAACAGTACTTCCCATAACGAGTGGGGTGCTGTACTGGTTAGGAAAACTCCCAACTGTAGAGAAGAGTGTGGGTGTTCTACGTTTGTCGAAGCCAGGGTGGGTCAAGTTGGGGGTAACGACACCGTTTCTTTTAGTTAATCGTCAACAAACGTTCAAGGATGATTTTAGTGAATGAGTGCTTGACAAAGTGCTTGACAAAGCGATTACATGTGTTTTATGTAGCTGGCTATCTACGCTGCGTGACGAAAAAGGTCGTATCTTCTGAATTTTGCAAGATAACAGATACTTTGTTCCTTTTAACAAAAGCACGCAACGATTCCTGCGCGTCTGGAAAACCTTATGATCCTACCAAAAATGTTTCCGTTACATTCAAAAGGGACGCCGCCCTTGACTTACTGGAGAGAAGGTACTTAGTCGAAGAAACCAGAACCTACCCAGTCGCCTACCCGCATGTGATTGCGCGGACTGAACCCTAGGTAACTCAACTTCACAACGACAGACTCCCGGTTCATTCTAGACCGCACTTTCTATATCAATGTACATGCATCTGTGGTTCAAGATAACTTGAACGCACAACCAGTTGCTTGACAAGACCGGTATCGGAACACTGCCCAAGACCGCTACGAATAGCCATCGCGATGACACTGGACCTTAACGTGGTGCGATGGTTTGTGGGCCTCAGTGATCAAATGAGCTATGCTGGGTGGTGCTTTTTGCGCCTCCAGAGCCATTCCTACTAGATTGGTCTGGGGTTAGAGGCCAGACAGACTCAGTCACTTTGCCCTTCAGGTCGGGGATTGGAGTAAGAGTGGCTTTTTCATAAAACGGACTCTCAGTAACCCAGTGCCAAAAACCTGCTGTCTTGCGGTAAGGATTTTTGAACCAAAAGTTTTGGTTGAGGAGCCTGATCATTCTCCTGTCCAGGCCTGAGCAACCTGGCAGTATCCGGCCCACGCAATACATTGACCTTACATTCAAACAATTTCTTGATGCTTTGGCCGTTGCAGAGGTGAATAAACGACGCCCTATCTGCTGCATCGATCAGGGTAGATAGGGGTTTGAATGCTACTGCTCAGGCCTTCCTGTCTTTTTATTCCCGCTCTTGCGCTTTTTCATTCTTAGCGTCCCGCTCCAACTTCACTTTCCCCCCACTCGTTTCAATCCCACAATTATTTCCCCCCTCATGTTGCTTCAGTAGCCGCTTGTCTTTTAGTCTAAACTCACAAGCGCAGGGCGTCGCTCCATCCCAGTCGGTAAGTCCATGTTCAACCAAGCGGACATCAGTTCATCCGTTTCCCTTTGGAGTCCTCGATCCTCTATAAGACTGGCATGCCTAAATGTGCGGGTTTTGCCGCATATTGGCCAACAGGCAGCAGTTTCCCGAGCACTAGATACCCTCTCGAACAACATTTGCTGTATATCAGCAACCCACCCGCAAGATTCGAGCTCCGTGATTACTCTGTGATACCCACATGTGACACTGGTGGCACATTCTCAATGCGCCCGTCTGGAAATGACGCACCTTCAAGTGCCGGTCAAGCTGGCACCGGCATTGTTTTGTGTCTCCGGGCTGAAGCTGCCCTAATCGATTGGATCCTAATCAACATCCGGCTCTGCGCAGTTAGATTGGCTGGCTCGTTCCAGGCTTCCAAGCCGCGCGAGGACAAAAGGTGCCTATTTTGTCATCGCGGCCTACGCACCTAAAAACTGCAGCACTGCTTCAGTGAAAAAAGTTCCTATCACCAACTTAAAGATCATCTTCGCTACAGAACAGTACGAATACTGTGGTGCTTGCTGGTGATCTAAACGCCAAGTCGGCTAACTTTCCTCTGATGAGATTTATCTGGGCGGCCAACATGCTGTGGGCTCTCGTAATGCTAACGGTGGGCGGTTGCTACACCTGTGTGAATATGTTTGTTTCGTTTTCGCGAGCGCCAACTTTGGGTACAACACCTGCAGAAGAGTGTCTTAGCACCCAGCAGCGTCGGACCAGCCATGGACGCAAATTGATCACATCGTGATCAGTTACCGCTGGAGAGGCTGCGTCCAAAACTGTCGCTGGAGTTGGAGCACGAGCGTGGACTCCGATCAGGCTCTCATGTGTGCCGACCTTCGGGTGTGTTTCGGCTGACGTCCGCAACGTCGCTGTGAGCGCATAGATACCAGTCAACTGGCGAAGCCAGGTGTTCTATATACGTATCAGACTGCACTGGCCTCCGTGCTGTGTAAGCTGTCATTGATTACCGTACATGATCACTGGTTGCATAT